GATATGACCTGACCTTTGCCCTAGGTAGCTTTTCCATACTTATAGGAATATATTCAGCCTTGTCAAATTGATTGGAATGTCCCAATTTGTTTTACAGTTTTTTATACTCCACTCTTTGGCTGCTCTAATGCCTGATACTTATACGGTAAAGACCAGATAGGTGTGATTCCCTTTATCCTGCAAGGGTGACAAAACTTTCTCATTTTTAAAGTGAGTGACATTATCCATTCCTATTTTCTCAGTTTTTAGGAAAAATACTTATATGTTCCGCCATTTCAGCAGACACTGTGTTCCAGTTACTCTGGTCAGAGGATAAACATGTTTATGACTCCCTCCATTTATCAAAGGTCACAAGGAAATACTTATTCCCACTGGGAGTGCGGGTCAGAAAAGGACCTGCTATGTCAGCACTAAAACTGATTAGTGGTTCTTCCTCTATTATTTTAAGATGCTCAGGATGAACTTTCTTAAACCCATCCACCTCTACACATTGAAGACATGTTGACCATGTGTGTTGTAGGTGCAATCGCAGTTTCGGTAAGAGGATTTTATTGTGGAGACAATATTTCCTCATCTGAAATAGGCCCACATGGCCTAAACTGCTGTGTAATTCACGCACAACCTAAGGAGCTTCTTCAGGTGGTACGTGAATGCTTCCACCCTTTTTCCATATTCTAGGGAATATGGCAGTCCGGTGGTTAACTCGTCCCGTGCTTTAAGCAAGGTAAAACTTCTCTATTACCCTGATAGTCAAATTATCTCTTATCTGTATGGCTACGGACATGATTCCATTCTACATGCCTGCCTTTAACTCTGCAATAAGACCCTCAATAGATGGGCAGGTGTCAGCGTTTCACCTTTCACATTTTCTGAACTGCCTTTGTTCCCAATTATTAAGCTCTTCTTTACCCGCTTTTTAATAATAATCACTATCAGTAACAATACGGATGTGTGCTATTTTCCTTTTTTAGCAAAAAGAAGTCCCTCAACAAATGGCCTTTTCCTCAGCAGGCTGTACCTGGTATTGCACCCTTTTGCTTGCAAGGTACTTCACCTGAATTAGTTTTCATTATAAAGGCCCAAGTGGCTGCTTGGTCACCTTTTCGCAAACTCCCCTCTGTAAACAGTGTTATCTGTGGAGTAGCGGTTTTCTGTAAGGGTTTCAATGTTTCCCTTTATGGCTTACTTCCTGAGGTCCTCTGCACCCCACATCTGGATCAGACATTATCATCTTCTATTTTCTTCATCTACTCATCATTGTTTTTGCTCCCTGAACAGTTTGTTTAGTAGCTTCAGATATTGAAAAATAAAGAGTGTATATGCACATCTTGGTACTTTGAGACATTTCCCTCAGGGCTGGATAGAATCTGAATGCAAGTGCAAGATGCTTCTCTTCAGGTGATAATTTTCCCTCTGTTCCTGATCAAGTCATGGACATGAATAACACAGATTTTCTATCACCCTGGTTCCTTATCTCCACATTGTTAGTTTCTGAGAATGGGTCTCAACATACTATTTTGGTTTTTGATATTTGATATTATTGTTCTGGTGTTAAGATAATTTTTTGAATCTCCCTCTTTTCTTAACAACTGGAGCTATGTCTATTTTAGATCCGACTTGGTTAAGAGTTGATTTATTCATTGGTGAGAGGAACACTATTTCCCTTGTGCTGAGGCCATAAAACTTTTAATGGTCTTTCGTGGTCTGCTCAAATGTTCTTCCCCTCCAGAGGTCACGCCTGTCTTTGACCCCGTGTGCTGCGTGTTTCTGCAGCACCTCGGGAGCAGAGAAAAGAGGAGACTTTTTTTTTCAAAAGTGCAAGCTCCATTCATGAGCAAAATACCACCCCATTTAACTCTCCCTGACTTGTCCTTAAAGCGTTCTTTAAGGCTTGAATTGAGTTTTCCGTTGTGTAACGGAAAATCCCATTCCCAAACAGGGGTCAAAAGTAAATACTTTAGTTGATTTTGGTAAAGTATTTGAGCTTTAGCTTCGCAAAAACTTTCTCATATTAGTTTTGAAGATATTGTTGGGACTTGATATCTGCTGATAGTTCCCACATAGGTTTTTTCTTAAAAGTACATTCAAAACAACCGGTATTTGTGGGTCATCTGATCACCACATCGCCTTCTGACAGTTTAATAGTCCTTATCTTATTATCACTCTGTTATTGCATGCTAGGACCTATTCTCTTTTCCAGAGCTACTGCTATTTCTCCTGCATGTTTTAGCTTCCTATTAGCAGGGTTCATTAACCTGGTTTGTTGATCCAGTTTTAGGATTTTCAATATTTGACATTAATATTTCCAACATTCCTTTTCCCTGAATATCATGTCTAACAATGTGTTTTCTTCTAGTCGTAGATGGGATACTCCTAAATGGCATTTGTGAGCTTTTATCCCTGTATGGTGGAGGTAGGGTCTCAGACATTATACCACCTGCTTGTTGCTCTCTGTCAAACGGTAGTCTGACAGGAAAGTATTTTGGTCGCGGTACGCCCGTGGGTCTGGGCTAAGCTGACCAGGGCGGGCAGAAGCTCCGGATTTTGCTTCTGTGTATCCCTCCATGTGTGGTTGGCTCCGAGTCATTAAAAACTGCGTTCTAACCTCGTCCGCCATTTATTTTTGTTTGTTTGTTTAAAAAACAACACAAAAATGTATTAAAGGGTTCAAGTTCACTCTTTTATACACATGCAAGTTCCTAGGCTTTACTCCCGCCGGGTGTACAGTCCGACTATACCGTCACTTGGTTCTAGGTTCTCTTTCTGGATTCAGTTAGTACATGCGGGTACCTCAGCTAAGAGTGTTATGTACCGAGCTTCGAGTTTTTCCAACAGCATAGGTACCTTTAGACCTATGTTTATCTTTATTAAATCTCCCATTAACTCTTCCCCACGTTATGTTTTAACGCAAAAGTTCAAACCGCAGCTCTTGGTCAAGTCCTACCTATAAGTTTCAAAGTAATTGGACAAGTACTGAGCAGTGCTCCTACGGCTGACTTCACTATAGCCACCTAAACCTGTGTTAAAGGGACCACAGGCTTCTCAATTTGGCTAGGGGAAGATGAGCCTTCTTTAGCTTCTTTAACAGACAGCAATATCCGATATAATATAACCCTCAGTCCGGTGCAATAGTATTAACTTAAATTACTACACTTTCAGGTTTAATTATATATTCTAGGATTTGGGGTAGGTATTTTAACAAGACTTTCAGCCTGTATTTCGCTGATTTGTACTCATCGACTTTTTTCACTAGGTCGTTTTGGTTCTTGTATTTTGACTCTGTAAAAATATTACTTTTCACAGAGCCCCACGTTGGGCGCCATGTTTAGAGTATGAGAGGTCCTGATAATTTATTCCGGTAAATTACTCTGACCTACTAATTGACCTTTCCGAAGTTATTGAGTCTATGTAAGTTTACTGCTTGGCTCAGATCCACCAACGTCAGCAAGATCTCACCTCTACTAACTCCCCGAAGAACCAGGTTCAATTAACTGCTGTTTCAATTCAGACAACTCTTTTTTAATCTGTTTAAGTGATCCCGAAGGATTTTGATATCAGTAAATGGAGTGTGCTCCTACCTAAGTGTGTGTGGCAGGGTGCAATCTTACCTTTGAAGCAGGAGAGGAGAGCACAGGTGTCTTTTAAATTATCCCAATCCAACTGGTGGGATTCAGTTTATTTGAAGAAAAATAGGTCCAAACTAATACAGGGTTTTTACCTTCTCTCTTTACAACATTATAATCATACTAAAAACCTGGTGCTTTGATCATGTTCAAATATGAAACTTTAATTCACAGTCTTACATTTATTACCAAAATATTTTAATTTCAACTGCCCAATTCAGTTGTGACATTTTAAAATTCTCCCGATAGAATTTAGAGGTATTTCCTCGTAAAAAGACCGGTGACAATAAAAAGCGCATTCAACTTTCCATTCACCAATCAATTCACATCAGTTTCATACCGTTTTTCCGACACAGACGGCGGGTATAACATTCAAAAACACATTCCTATCCGCCAAGGTTTCGGAGGAAGATTTCCTCACAGGTCGCGGGTTATAATAGTCGTACACTTTTTCCGACACAGACGGCGGATTAACCTTTCAAAAACACATTCCTATCCGCCAAGGGTTCGGAGGAAGGTCCTCACAGGTCGCGGGTTATAATATTCACAAACACATCTCTCATCAAATCATTCCACTCAGCCAACAACCAAGAAATTCGAGAGATATTTACCCCGTCTGACAGAACCTTACCGAGAGCTAGTTACCCAGCTCTGAAGCACAAAGCCTACCGGGAGAGAGTCTACCAGGGGAACCCCCCCCTCTCTCGCGCTCTCTCAAAAAACCAGTCTCTTTGTGCTAAAAAAAAACTGGATCGAAAACCCAAAAAAACAAACTCCTCCTCTACACCCAATTTGTGAAAAACTGCGCTTGCCCTCTAATGTACAAGGCTGAACATGCCTCGACATGTTCCATAGCTTTATGACATAAGACGCACCTTCTCATGTTAGTGTGAAAAGGACATGAACTATTTTTGGCCTCTTAATGTGTCTCCTTAAGCCTGGAGCCCCCCCTCCCTGTGGACTGCTGCCAGAGGAGAGGGAGAAAACGGTCTACTCTCTTATCAGAGACACCTTACATACTCAACCTAAACAAACCACTTTGTTTTGTTTATACTGTAACTATAGAAAAACCTAAAATATGAAGCATTTTCATTGTGGGTTATACAAGAATATAATTGATTATATTTGATTATAACTAACTTTCGTTTTTAAGTATTAAACATACTATGAAAACTCACAACACCGGACACACAAGCACGCGCTTTGATTGGCTAGAGCTTGCACTGGCATATGATTTCATTGGCTGACGCTTCCGCCGAAGCTTCAAAAGTTGAACATTGCTCAACTTTTGAAGCGAGCAAAGCGAAGCAACGCTCCCACAATGCAGTTCGGCAAAGCGTGACGTCACCCCATTCAAAGTGAATGGGCAGAAGCGTTGAAGCTTCAATGCACGCCGCCGTGTGGACGGGCCGTCAGTGTATCCTGCTGACATCAATTTCCGGGTCACTACCGGAGGACCGAGCAGTCGAGGAGGCGAAATTTCGAGAAATTAGAAACGGCTAATTTTAGAGTCGTCTAAACATTGTCTGATCTGCTCCAAACTTGACACACCTGATGACAGCACGGGTCTGAAGCCGTCCGGGCATCTGTGGGGAGACAGGAAGCCGACCGGCGTAAGATGCAAGGGCCCGCTCATCACTGCGCGAGTTTGAATAATTATTATTATTATAAAGATCAGAGAAAACGCACCTTTACCTTGAGTCAAATTACAGATTTCTCTAAAACATGTGGGATCAACTAAATATAAATCTCAGGGATAGTAATTTCTACACTTTTTGATGTTTATCATTAAGAGTTAAGATGTTGATTTTCACAGAGATGGAATCAGATAAATGTATTGTGTTGAGTGTGAGACAGATGTTGTGTGAAGGTGAACACACTGAACTGATTTCAGCAGCTGATCTTCAGTCAGTTTCTGTCATCAGGAAAGACTCTCAGACCTGCAGAGGACACAGAGACACTGAAGAGGAACCAGTCCATAACCTGAACCCAGCATAGAGAGGTTCAGTGAATGTGGTTCTGAAGGTGTGGAGGTGGATCAGTGAGTCAGAGGAGACTCTGTAGAAGGAGAGAGAGCCAGCAGGATGATCCAGATACACTGCTACTCTACCAGAGGAGGAGGAGGGGGAGGAGGGGGAGGAGGAGGAGGTGCGTGTTCTTCTCTCATTGTGCCAGACATTGTAACCCCCACCAGAGTATCTCAGACTCCAGGACTGATCATTCCATCCAAACCTACAGCCCCCACTCTTTCCTCTCCTGCTGATTCCTCTGTAAGTCACTGATATATGAGCCTCTCCTCTCCACTCGACCTCCCAGTAGCAGCGACCAGTGAGAGCTTCTCTACACATCAGCTGTTCGTAATAGTCAAACCTCTCTGGATGATCAGGATATGGCTCTTCCTCCTCCACAGCTGTCACCTTCCTGTTGTCTTCAGACAGTTTGAGTTTCCTGTGAGCTGTGTTTGAGTCCAGCTCCAGTTCACAGGCATCTGATGGAGAGAACAGCTGCAGGTTATCATCTGTTCATTTATGAACTACTTTACTGACTGACAGAAACCATTCAGACTGACGTCTCATATTCACTGAGAATGATGTCTAACCATGGGCGTCACAGCCATTATATGAGGGTGGGACAAGTCCCCCCCTCCTTTTAAAATGATTAGTTTAGACCCCCCCACTTTTAGCATGTGGAAAGTCTGTGCATCGGTCTATCCACTCGCCACTCTTTGTAGAGCGCTGTGTCAGTGCTTCATTATCAAATCCATTCCACTTGCTTATTGAGAGAATGCCCAAATCAATGAAATAACGTACTGTAGTGCCGAGAGACGGGAGACGGAGGCGGGGTATCAAAGGTACAAGCTAGACTTTTATTTAGCATCAGAACAACATGTAAACAGCTTCAAGCCCGGGAAGCGAAGACCGGCGGAAACAGGAAGTCCGGTTAACTAAAACGTCCGTGCGGAACAATACCCTAACCCATAGATCCGTGGGTGAATAATGCCAATCACCACAGTACCATGTTTTCACTGCTACTTTGTACCATTGCAGATTCTCAGAGCTGTACACATGCTGCGTTCTGTGCGTAGCTGTGTCTTTAGTTGTAAGCCCAGTGGCGATCTGTTCATCTGTCATATCATACAATAAAGCCATTGAAAAGAATAGGATACAGCATTAAAAGTTATTCTGGGTCTTTGTGTGTCATAGCTCGGCTGTGTGTGTGGCACGACGAGCGCATTTTGTGTGAGCGAGAGAGAGAGTGAACGAGAGAGCGCTAACGTACATAAGGAGTTGTTTCTACAACCAGGAGGAGGAGAGCGCTCTCCTGTCAGACAAGTCTTATAACGTCAGCTCAGGGAGGTAAAGGACTCTGAGTGTTTAGATCGTTGACTTTAGTCTAAGTTATCTCATGTAAACAAGTCATTCCAAGGCACACCTTTTATATGATCATTATAAAAAAACAAGAGAATAACAGTTATATGAAATAATTCCAACTCATACTATAGGACAGTAAAACAAGAATACAGTTCAAAAGGGGAGTGATTTGTAAAAATATGCATAAAGAAAAAGTAAGTCTGTTTTAAACAGTTCTGTTTCACATGGGTGTTGTTGAGAGATGTATCCATAGATGTAGTCCCTAACTGTGCTCTCAAAGTGCACCAGATAGATCCATTTAACTTCAACATTTAAAGTTGAGCATGCCCCCAGACCCCCCAAGAGGAGGTGAGGTCCACCACCTGCCCACACCCCTCGTCAAATTGTCCCACCCACATTGAGGATGCTTCCTACGCCCATGTGTCTAACAACCTGATCTTCATCAGCAGGTGATCCATCAATGATCTCAGACCTAATGCTTATTATTGTAAAATAAGAGATAAGGA